CTGCCTTTCGTACAGCTTGGTAATGGATGGAGCATCGGATGCAACTGTACAACTGCCAGCGTTTACATTTATCCTGTGCTCAGTGGCCTGACTTACATCTCTCTATCAGCTCCAGCCAAAATATCTGGAGGCACCCAGGATGGTGAAGTCATCATTCTGCAGGTAACACTTAGGGGCATGGTTTATTTTCAACTGATCAAACCAAGGCAAATATTGTCAAGTCTGGTATTGCTAAAGGGTTAAATAAGGATGAAAAAACATAAACAATACAGATTAAATAAAGCGATTATTGTGAGAGAAGCAGTGCTGTCCCAGAAGCCTATTCTCTCTAAAAATAATTTGGGGTTACTTCTGGATACTTCTGGTGACAAGCAGGAACAAAACCATTTTTTAAGTATTGTGTATAGTCCTCCTCCCTCCTATTAAAATCAAATAATGAAGATACACCATAAAAGCATTAAAATATAGCAGGAAGCTATATCAAATACAAAGTAAAAAGTGCATCTGCAAAAATGTGTGTGTGCATATGTATTATAATAACCTTAGAACAGGCCACTTTATATCCAAGGAAAGTCAAGTAAGCTACTGAGAAATCAGCTGGATTCACTAAGCACTAACATAATAGCCTACTTGATATTTTAATATGTTTGTACTTCCCTCACCATCTTCATTGCCCTCTTTGGAACCTGTTCTGATTTAGCTACATCCGTATTAAGGCAATGCTCAAAACTGAATGCAGTAAGTCCAACTAGTGATTTTGCCCTTGATGACATATTTACAGAAATCGTAACCCACTTTCACCAAACACCATGGACCTCTTTAAAGTCAGAACCCAAAAAGAAAAAAAGAGAGATCATCCTTATAGAAAAAAATCCTTTGCATACAGTAAGCCCTAGATTCAAACTTTAATGCTTCCAAGAATGGCTGGAAAAAGCTTAAGTTTAAAAACTTAGACAGCTCCTGCCAGTCAAAACAGCTGAAATAGACTGACTTCTGAAAAAGGCATTTTCATATTTTCTGCTCTGGATTGGAACAACAGCAGAAGTTTGGACTGACTGTCAATCCCAGAATGAAAGATATGAATGTGTGCATCTAAGTACTATGCATGTATTTACGTGTCAGTTTATATCTATTTCTCCCCATAAAACACTCCCTTTATTGCATTTAGAAATTCAATAGTGCAGAGACAGCACAAAAAGACAGACAGCAGGGGCAATATTTCCTTTGGTATTCCTAAAGAATTGAAATCCTGTCCAGGCAGGAAGGTGGCAAACTGCAAAGCTGCATTAAAACAAACTACTATGAGATTCAGGGTTTAAGAGAAGATATTCCATTTTTAATTGGACTGAAACAGCTTTAGTTTTCCATTTAGCATCCTATTGCTTGTATTAGGGCATCTTAAAAATATGGTTCTTCAGTAGTCATCCTCCTCCTCTACCGGTGTGTGTCTTCCTCCTTTACAGGAATGCTCCTGAATGACTTAGCCAGGTAATGAAACATTTGCAAGAAAAGAACCAAGCTCAGAGAACCCCAAGGACTCCACAGTGAATGACTACAGTCTCAAAACACAGAGGAAATCTAATTAGCAGTGGGGAAAATACCTTTCATCTACTGAAGTCTTCACATGTTGCAGCATATCCCTCGCAAGCCAGTTCCTATACTACCTCATGACCTTCTATCTGAAAGAAGACATCTGCCCTCCTTCTCTGATAAGAGATTTGCTGTCGTGGTCTCTCTCTCTCCCAATCTTTCTCTCTCTCTGAAAAACAACTGAGCCACCAGACAGCAAATTATCCTATGATTTTTTACAATTGCTCCAAGTCCATGTTTAACCTAAGTTCGGAAGCAGAAGTGTGATCTTAATCCAGGGACAAATAAGCAAGTGAGGGTGAGTCCAGTGAAGAAAACAGCAAGGAAAACAAGGGGGAGGGCCCTCTTTTTCAGTTCAATTAAAAATTTTTCACTGACAAATTCCCTGCTTTAGTCTGCCAGTTTTATTTAAGAAGGAATGGAAGGGTGGGGAAGGAAATGCTGACAAACTGGCAACTTATTAATCATTGTAATCAACACACAATTCCTGTTTGATGAAGCTACGGTTGTGGTGCAGATGAGATACAGCCAAATTTACCCCAGGCAACAGCAAAGGTATATCTACTGCTCCAACTTGAACTATATTAAGTTTGCACTGAATGATTAATTGAAGCCATCAGGGGACAGATCCTTTCAGTTACACAACACGTCTGTTCCATGTGCAGAACTGCCAATAGGAATGCCTTCTACTGGGGTTCTCCTGTAACTTCTGTTAATTATTCATTAGGGATAATCCTCCTGATGATACTTGTTACAGCATTTGATCTCATGAAAGAAATGAGATTTAAGGAGGATGGGAACTTAAGATCTTAGCACTCCAAGGAAAGATTGAAGATAGTAAGGTAGAACTACCTTATATTAAAATGCATTCATATAAAATATTAAGCTAGGATATATAAAAGATAATGGTTGTTAAACTAGTAGTATTGGCCTGGGCCACACAAAATTCTAAGCCATCATGTCTCAATTCCCACATCATACTAAGTTAAAAACAAATATGATGGTTTAGCATGAGGTGAATCCCACTGAATTTCAGTGAATTCCACTGAAACAAATAGTTAAAGCAGATCATTAACCAGATCACTAGGGCCCTAGTCATTGAGTATTCTTAATCCTATCAACTTCACATCCATCTCTGGGGCTGTTGGGATAATCTGTGACTTTCTAAATGCAAAAGACGGAATTATGCACACAACTAATAACAGAAGAGCAGAAAAGATATTGCTTGTCATGGTTAAAGGTAGGAACAGTATGGTACAAAATGTATTTTGGCAACTAAGCATAAGCTTCTTAAAGCATTTTTATTAAATTATTTAGGTCTGTCATCAAGTTCAACAACCTTAGGCCATTATAATAACTGAAGAGTTAAAGAAAAAAGTTATCAAATGTTATTTATATTAAAATATTATTTCAAAATGGACTGTTTGCAAATAATTAAACATTATTTATTAAATTTTAAGATCTTATATTAAATATAAGAACTAATGGACCAGCAGAAGGCCCGTCTAATCCAGATTTCTGTGTCATACAGTGGCAAACTCCAAAGAGGACAAGGAGGTCAGTACTGCTCTTTGGTATGCTGCTTGGGTTTCAAAAAAAGATAGCATATAGCCATCACCAATAGGAGTCACTGATAGCTCCATCTTTTACGAATCTGAAGTCATCTAAATTGGTGACTGTTGTCACATCCGATGGTATTGAATGCCATGGCTCAGCTTGTTGGTGTTTAGTCGTTAAGTTGTGTCCGACTCTTCGTGACCCCATGAACCATATTGCGCCAGGCCTTCCTGTCCTT